ATCTATTTAACTCTACAATCCACAGAAATTCAGAAATCTGTGATATCTCTATTTCTGAATATATCAGTTATAATATCAGTTTCCTGGCATATTCCGTCCATGACATACAAATGGCAATTCTGTTTTGGATAACAAAATAAAACTCCAAAATGCATGAATATCACAACCTCACATGTTTTTATATTCTCTTCTGTTCACAGACAATGAAAGTGCTTTCATACTTTGCTCTTATGAGTAGTGTTCCAATAAGTTGAAGTGTATAATTATCTCAGTTCTATGGTGACTTGCAGGATATGTAGGTAAACAATCATCACAGGAAATTCTGGAACATAAATTTTAGGTTTTTGTGGTACCTTTCTTTATGATTTGTCATGGTCGTTGTGAATCCAAAACAATCTCAGATATGACATGTACAACAAAACAAAGAAAGTATTCCAACTAAGTCCAGTTTGGTGGACCAATGAGATTCCTGGGATTACTTGTAGGAACATTGGTATCTCAAGTGTAATTGTATAACTAAAGGATTTTCCTTAGTATGACACATAATTGGTGAGTTATGAATATTGCTTCTGTGGAGCTCTGTGCTCAATTTATAAGTGATTTACACTGGAAAGATCTCTCCACAATTTGCTTACTCATTTTACAAGCAATAATGAAGGTGGGAATCATGGGATTTGTAAGTTGTGTGAGCTTCCTGATCATTTTAGGTTTGCTTAGCTTCCTAAGTGTTGTGAGTCTTCCTTCCCTCTACAGAAGAAATGGTTCTACTTAAAGGTCAGAACTACACAATATTCTCCCCTTCCTCCTTATCTTGTGTGCTTTTGATTCAGTCATGACATTTTATGAACTTTAGAGGTAATTGTGTTAATGCAATTAATTTATTTATTAAAATTCACATCACTATATTATAAAAAAAGTCACTGATTCCCTAACCTCAGCTACTTACAAGTTTCCACAGATACTGCAAAGATTAATTTTCCTCTATATTCTAATAGCAGAAGTACCTTATGGGTAGAAACACTTGGGCTTATAATTCACTTTGGTGGGCACTCCACAACTGCTCATGAAAACAATAGTAGTCCACAGAGCATCAACTGGCACTATGAAAGCCAGCAGTCAGGAATGGGCTTCCATCTCTGTCCTATGCTGACTTTTATATTTTGTAGTCAAAGGGTACAGTGTCTTTACCAGTAAGTTCTTATCATCTAGTTTTGGCACAATCAACAGCAGTAGAAATACCTTTTGTGCCCTTTGAGGACTATAAGACACTTGTGTGTCTTTTAAGTAAGTTCTTCCAGACTGAATATTTGTATTGCCTCTAGTTATACAGGTGTATGTACACTCTACTGTTTCTCCTACTCAGGGATGCCCATATTTGTCCCATCTGTTCATATGTTTCACAGCATCATGATCTAGGTTTGAGAAACACATTTATTGTTTTAAATCTTCTCAATTTAAAGCATATCAAATGCAGAGTATTTCCTAAATATTATAATTTCATTGCTTTTGCCTTCCTAATATTAAAAAATCCAAATTTATGGATATCAGTAGTATTTATGATTATTACATACTTGATATTCTATTACTATCACATCATGTTCTTCCTCCATATCATTTGAATTTTTTAAAGTAGAATCTAAGTTATTTTGTTACAAGGCAGAGCTCCATAGCAGACATCTAACCTCCTCCAATTCAGCCTTGGAAATTGGCAAGCTTACTTCTTCTCATCCTCCCTTTTTTCTCTTTTCCTGACAAATCTGAGACTCGTGTGGAGGATAGCAATATATTTATGTCTTTCATATAATCACCCCTCACTGCTTTAGAAAATTTCTTTTTGAGCAGACATATGAACCATCATTTTATGCCTTAGAAGACACAGCAAAGGCATGTAACTGCTGACAGAGCTTTTTATAAAATCTTCCTTAAGATGAGTTCCTTTCAGAGAATACAATATACAGTCTTCAGGCATTTAGGCTGTATCTCCATGCTCACATGAAACAGATACCATTCATCAATGAAGCATTCTACCTGAAGCCATACTATATAAAGGAAGACGTCCACACTAAGAGTATCCTTCCCAATGGATGCTCTACTTTCAGATATCTCAATCTGTTTCATGAGTTATAATACATCATAGTGAGAATTCAACTGTCACTACAGGAAAGAAAGTCATCATCCCATATTACATGGGAAAAGATATTGATATTGAAATTGACCAACACAGATGCCTTACCTTCAGATTGATCACCATCATGTTGATCAGACTCAGTGTGAATACTGCGTATGCTTGGAAATGCCTCCTCCCTAGCTTTTCCTGGGTAGACAAAAACAAAATTTATTCACTTCAGTAGAGAACTCATGACAGAATGAAGATTCCACATAAATAATTAATGAACCAATGAGTTTCAATGAGTAGCCTCTTCTACTTCACAGAGATCACATCCCACTATGGGGCACAGCAAAGCTACAAACATTACATTATCACATATATTTAAAAAGTTTCTTTTACCTAAATAACTCTATAGTCTCCAAATGAGGAATTTTGTAATATCTGTATTTCTGGGTATATCAGGTATAATTTCCATTTTCTTGTGCATTCATTCCATGTCCTATAAATGACAACTGTATTTTGTGTAACAGCATAAAATTCCACCCTGTGTGAATATCAGTATCCTATATTTTTATATTCTCCTCTGTTCACAGATATTGAAACTGCTTTCAAACTTGGCTATTGTGAGTAGTGCTCCAATAAGTAGAGATGTTTAATTATCTCAATTCTATGGTGATTGGAATCTATGGGAGTATACACTCAGCACTGGTAATTCTGGAGCATATCGAAGTTCAAATTTTAGATTTCTGAGGTACCTTTCTCTATGATTTGTCATGGGAGATGTGAATCCAAAATAATCTCAGATATGACATCAACAACAGAACAAAGAAAGTATTCCAACTTGGTCCAGTTTGGTGGACCAATGAGTTTCCTGTGGTTACTTAAAGGAAGATTGGTATCTCAAGGGTAACTGTATAAATAAACGTTCCTCCTCAGTATGATACACCATTTGGTGAGTTATGAATATTGCTTCCCTGGAGCTGTGTGCTCAAATTATAAGTGATTTACACTGGAGAAATCTTCTCTCCACAATGTTCTTACTGTTTGTAAGCAATAATGAGGATGAGAATCATGAGATTTGTAAGTTGTGTGAGCTTCCTGATCCTTTGAGGTTTCCTTAGCTTCCAAAATGTTGTGAATGTTCCTTCACTTTTCAGGAAGAAATGTTTCTAGTTAAAGGAAAGAGTTATACAACACGCTACCCCTTCCTCCAGCTATTGTGTGCTTTTAATTCAGTCATGACATTTTCTGAAATTTGGAGGGAATTGTGTTGATTCCAATTAATTTTTTATGGCTGAAATATAAGACATTATGTTATAACAAGAGTCACTAATATCTAGGATATTGGCTATTTTGAGTTTCCACAGATACTGCAAAAGAGAATTTTCTTCTACATTTTAATAGCAGAGTTACTCTATGAGTAGAAACACTTGGGATTATAAAGCAAATTGTTGGATGCTCTACAACTGCTCATGAAAACAGCAGTAGTCCTTCATTGCCACAACTCATGTCCAGGTTGTTCATGTAGATCTCAGCCATTTCTCCATCATTGGGCGATCCTCGTGTCTTTTTTGGGGTCCTATTTTCCAGGTAGCCTCACTGGTGATGTGAGTAGCAGTCCAGTCATCCTTGTTCACCATCTAGTATCCTCCTATGAGTGAGTACATATCATATTTGTCTTTTTGAGTCTGGGTTACCTCACTCAGGATTATTTTTTCTAGATCCATCCATTTGCCTGAAAACCTCATGATGTCATTGTTTTTCTCTGCTGAGTAGTATTCCATTGTGTATATGTGCCACAATTTATTTATCCATTCTTCAGTTGAAGGGCATCTAGGTTATTTCCAGATTTTGGCTATTACAAACAATGCTGATATAAACATAGCTGAGCAAGTGCTCATGTGGTATGACGGAGCATTTCTTGGGTATATGCCCAAGAGTGGGATAGCTGGATCTTTGGGGAGATTGATTCCCAATTTTTTAAGAAAGTGCCATATTGATTTCCACAGTGGTTGCACAAGCTTGCATTCCCACCAGCAGTGGAGGAGAGTTCCCCTAGTTCCATAGCCTCTCCAGCATAAAGTGAGGCTACATGGAAAACAGGACCCAAGGAAGACACGAGGATTGCCCAAAGATGGAGAAATGGCTGAGATCTACATGAACAACCTGGACATGAGTGGGAGCAATGAAGGGCGATGGTCGAGGGAAAGAGAGCAGGAGATCCCAGCTGGATCAAGACCAGAGAGGGAGAACAAGGAATAGGAGACCATGGTAAATGAAGACCACATGAGAAAGGAAGAAACAAAGTGCTAAAGAAGCCCACAGAAATCCACAAAGATACCCCCACAAAAGACTGCTGGCAGTGGCCGAGAGACAGCTGGGACTGACCTACTCTGGTGAAGGGATGGCCAAACACCCTAATAGTTTTGCCAGAAACCCCATCCAAGGACTGAGGAATCTGGATGCAGATATCCACAGCTAGGCCCCGGGTGGAGCTCCGGGAGTCTAATTAGTGAGAAAGAGGAGGGTTTATATGCGCGAGAATTGTTGAAACCAAGGTTGGATAAAGCACAGGGACAAATAGCCAAACAAATGGACACACATGAACTATGAACCAAAGGCTGAGGGGCCCCCAACTGGATCAGGCCCTCTGAATAGGTGAGACAGTTGATTAGCTTGATCTGTTTGGGAGGCATCTAGACAGTGGTACCAGGTCCTGGGCTCATTGCATGAGATAGCTGTTTGAAACCTGGGACTTACGCAGGGACGCTTGGCTCAATCTGGGAGGAGGGGACTGGACCTGCCTGGACTGAGTCTATCAGGTAGATCTCAGTCCTTGGGGGAGACCCTGCTCTGAAGGAGGTGGGAATGGGGTGCGGGCTGGGGGGAAGGGGAGGGGGCAGGGAGGGGGAGAACAAGGGAATCTGTGGCTGTTATGTAGAACTGAATCATATTGTAAAATAAAATAAGACAAAAAAAAAAGAAAAAGAAAACAGTAGTAGTCCACATTGCATCAACTGGCACTATGAAAGCCAGCAGTCACAAAGGGAGTTTCCATCTCTATCTTATCCTGATTTTTA